CCTAGCGCCAGGCTTGAGTGCACCGCCAGGCCGACTCCAGCTGTTCCGGATGCGGGGCGGGGGGCCCAGAGGGGGCCGGGGCCTCGGCTGGGGCTGCGCTCTCAGGAACCCGCGGGGAGCCGGGGTTCGAGTCAGACTGGACATTGGGAACCCTACGGCCGAACTCTGTGTATATCAGGAGAGCATTTGTGTGCATCGGTATTTGAATGTGTTTTATGTTTTTGTGCATATTTGTGAGGGGTTCTCCATGTGTATATTTGTGTAAACGTATGTGAACCTGTGGGTATTTAGTCATGTTTGAACCCCTACCCCCTAGTTTGACTTTCATTCCCCTGAGGTGCCCAAGGGGGCTGTGCACCCCAATTTTTTTCTCTTGAGTCCTTCCTCTGGTTTGTATGGGGTTGCTTGCCCTACCACCCTAATTTTCCGTTTCTGCCCCTGTAGAAAGGAGGTTTGGGGCCAAGGGAGGAAGAGCTCTTCTCTTCCCCACTCACAGTCCCAACCCCTCTCTGGCTTTGTTTGTAAACTCCTAGGCAGGCAGTGTGGGCTGGCAGCCCTGTTAGGTCCAGAGAAAGGCCCTAAGAGGCCAGTGTGGAGGCTGTGACCCAGCCCAGAGGTTGGGATGGGAAGAATAGGACCCCTTGGGCTTCTTGCCCCCACTATACCTTCTCCAGAGAGGGAGCAAACCAAGCTAGGCTATGGGAGAGGGGACAGGGGACAGGTTGTCTCCCTGGATGCCTCCAGCATAGGGGCCTCTGAGCATCAGAGATCACTTTATCTCATTTAGGTATTTGTTTGGAACAAGGCTTGCAGCTTTCCAGAGAAAAGGGACAGTGTAGGGAGAAAGGATTCTTGTTTGGGACCCCACTGCCTGCCCCAGGGCTGCTTGGGAGTGTTGAGAAAAGCTACTTACCCTCTTTCCCCATCTCTGTCCTGCATTCTGAGGGGCAGTGCAAGTGCTTTAGAAGCAGGAATGGTGAGAATGACATTCTCAGTTCCCTGAGAGCTCCAGAACTATCCTCAAGGTAGGCCTGTCTCTGATGCATCAGTGCTGCTCTGGGAGCCCTTAAGTGAGGCTGCCCTGAAGTCAAAGTCCAGAGATGGTGGAGAGGGACCTGAGGGAGAGGGCTCCAGGGAGCTGGATACTACTGGCTGGGAAGCTCTGGGACCAAGAGGGGTCTGCTCTCTCCTCTCACTTCCTGCTCTCAGAATCTCGCCTCAGCCTCTAGCCCACAGCCCTTTTCTACCATAACCCCAAAAGCCTCGACCCAGAGCCTCAGGCCAGCCATATCTCCTATGCTAGCAGAGGGGGCCCCTCCAGGTCAGGGAAAGGGGACTCTTGGGTTTCTATCCTCAGAAGAGCCACCTCCAATACTCCATCTCCCCCATTCTTCCTGGCTGTTCCTGTCTCCATACCTGATATTGGCATGCAAGACAGGATCTTAAGGACAATCCTGCTGTTGCCCATCTCCCAGTCCCTCAGGACTAGGAGAGTTCAGGGTTATTGTGAGGCTGCTAGGAAGGTAAGGAATATGAATTGGGGAGCAGAGGTGTGGGAGCATGGAATTCCTCTACCGGAGCCCTGTTTCCCTGGACCTTTAGTCTTTGACCACGTTATGTCAAAGTGGACAGGACATTCCACAGTCATCTGCTGCATTAGCCCTTCTACTCACCATTGTTGAATCTCTTCTTCCCTTCCTGTCAGGTACCTGCCACCCAATCCCAGGCTTTGTTTTTGTTTTTTGTTTTTGGGGTGTTGTTGTTGTTGTTGTTGTTGTTGTTGTTGTTGTTGTTGTTTGGCCTGGGTGGTTAAACTCTTGGTCAAACATCTCTGGCTGGCATAGCTAGGTGTTGAGGGGGCACGTGATTCCACCTGCCCATTTTGTTGTTTAGGGCCCTCTGTCTCCATCACCTCATCCAGATCATCTTCAAAAACCAGCCCAACTAACCCACCAGTTTTTCCCAACTCTGCGGTTTCTACTCACTCCAGACCCCAGTGAGTGGGCAGCTGGGATCTCCTGAACTCCAGGGAGCCCAAATCCACTAGCTCCTCCTGTGGAGCTAGGAGCTGTGGGGTTTGCCCTCAGGCTCACTCCTTCTCCCACCAGAATGGGAGATCCTTAAAGGCAGGGTCCCTGATGTGGGGATTCCACCCACTTCAGACCTTCATGGGCCAGGCAAGCCCCTTGCACCCTCCAGCATGGGCTGAATGATTTTTTGTTGAGCAAATAGAGTATAAACAATTGTGTATCATGGAGGGGGAAGGCTTGGGCTCATGGCAGTCCCATCTCAGAGGAGTTCTGGAGATTGTGAGATTTGGGAAGGGGAATAACTCAGAGGCGATGGGGGTGAGGTTGGTGGGAAGGAACTCTGGCATTACTATTCAGATCTCACCTTCTGCTCAACCTCCTTCCTGGGATACAGTCCCCAGGCCAGTGTCTTCTCCCCTGGAGCTGGAAGCAGCTGGCCCTTGGAGTCTGCTCCACAGAGGGAATGCCTGTCTTCAGAGCCTGGTCTATACTGTATCCTAACTCCTGACTTTCTGCTTGCTGCCTGTGCCACCAAGGTCCAGCCTTTTTCTGGCTCCAGTGGAAGATGAAGGAATTATTCTAACAAAAATCTATTTACCCACTAGTTTAGTGAATATTCCAGACAAAGAGGAGGGAAAACATTGCATGAATTGCCAGGTTAAAGGAGCCCTATAGACCCAAACAAAATGAGTCATTCCTTAGCACAGGAAAATAATTCAAGTAAAATGCCAAAGGCTCCATCGGCTTTAATCTGGATTGTTTGGGTTGCCCCATTCTTTTCCAGATTATTTGTGTAAGCATCAGCATGGGCCTTCAGGCCAGAACATCCCT